CAAATATTCCCTTGAATTTCAGGTAAGCCCATCTTCTTGTGCCAGGATCCAGCCTCCCAGGGTCCACCCCTTCTGGGGCACAGGCTGCAGATTCCCACAACTTGGCTGGAGCTCATTCTCAGGACCCTCCCCTCATCCCTCAGGATTCCAGGGACTCTAAACCCCACCCCAGCCCCACCCTACCCCACAGCCTTTCTGCCTTCGGGACACTCACATTTCTCCAATGAGTTCAGTCTTTAGCAAATGCCTGGAAGGTAGATCTTTAGCAACGTTTGCTTTGGACAAATGCACCCGAGGCAAGGAAATAGAAGGTGACGCTATGTTCTTAGAATGGGAAGAAGGAAAAGACACAGACCAAAATATAAATAGCTCTTATTCTTTTTTATTCTTCCACAACAGCAAAAAATAAAACTCAATATCTCAATATATTATTCTATGATTGAAATATTCAAGGCAAAGTACCAGAGTCTCTCTTCACCATCTCCTCTCTGGTTCCTCTTCCCAAAGCCACTATAATTGGGATTTTGGTGTGCATTGTGTTGTTTTTATTATTTTTTAATCCTCACCCGAGGATATTTTTCTATTTATCTTCAGATAGAGTGGAAGGGAGGGAATGAGAGGAAGAGAGGATGAGAGAGAGAGAGAGAGAGAGAGAGAGAGAGAGAGAGGCTGCCTCCTGCACGACCCTGACCAGGGCCAGGGACAAATTGCAACCGAGGTACGTGCCCTTAGTGGGAACCGAACCCCGGTCTCTCTGGACCACAGGCTGGCGCTCTAACCGCTGAGCAAAACTGGTCAGGGCTGTTTTTGAAGTTAGCTATCAGTCATCTGGGTGTAGACCTTCAATATTTAATAAAAGAAAACCATGTGGCAGGCGCGGAAGTGGCAGTGGAGGTCGGTCATAGCCTGGGGGAGCGAGGGACAGAGCAGACAACTGAAATGCCCTGGGATAAGCCTATGATTGGGGAAGTTCAGGGTTTCTGAGGGGCCCAGAGAGAGGCCTCTCACCTATCCTGACAGGGCAGCAAATGCCAAACGTGGGGACACAAAACAGTTATTTCTGGAGCCTGAGCTGCAAGGGAGGGAGAGGTGTGGGAGGGGACCGGTAAGCCCCGAGGCAGGGCCTGAAGGCATGTGCTTGGAGCAGGCAGAGCCTTTTAAGCTGCGTTTAAAAGCACAGAGTTTATTCCAAGAGCTATAAGGAGCCTTTTAAGAGCTTAAAGTTGGAAGAGTGACAAGCTTAAGGTAGCATTTTAGGCCACTTTGGCTTCAGTTTAGAGAACTGAGGGAGGTGAGGCGACCTCCTTTAAAAGGTTATTTCGGTGGATTGGAGGAGCAGTGGTGTGACCTGCATCAGAGCAGCCACAGTGGGCACGGAGGAAAGAGGACAGATGAGAGAAGCCCGCAGGAGACAGCACTGTTAGAATATGATGGTCGGATGCATATGGTGATGGTTGTAGGTGGTAGAAGAGACCAGTGGGACATCTGACTTGGGGGATAAGTAGATAGTCCTTCCAGTCGTTAAAATGGGGAACACTGGAGGAGCAGTTTTGAGGGACAGAGGATTAGTTCCATTTAGAGCAGGCTGAATGTGAGGTGTGCCAGAGTTTTCACAGGCAGAAACGTCTAGGCCCTACGTGTCGGGCCTGCGAGTCTAAAACTCGAGATAGGTCTGGGCTGCACACATAATCAACAACCCTGTGTGGAAACGAAGCCAGGGCATTGTCTGGGTCACCCAGGGGCACCATGGGGAGTGAAAAGAGAAGAGGGCCTCGGACAGAATCCCAAGAAGATACCACGAATATTTCAGGGACTCATGTTTGGCCCCTATGCTTTAGGAGTGTGGAAGTAGGAAAGCAGATTTTCTTGCTCATGAGTTAAGGGGAGCTATCATGTTGTCAAAGTCAAATGGAAATGGTTCTCAATTTAAAATTTTTTTACCTATCTTATACTATGCTTATTTCCATTTCTTCTGATTTTAGCTGCATAATTCTTAGGCATGTTACTTAACCTCTTACTGCTTTTGTTTCCTCATCCTTACAATGGAGACAATAATAGTTTCTGCCTCATACGATTATGAAGGTGAAAGAGTTAATACACAAAAGTGCTCAGAACAATCAATGGCTCACTGTATCCATTCAACACATGTAAACTGTCATCATCAGCATCATCACCAACAGCGGAGGATTGACTATGTGATTCATTTGGAGTTACGTGGCTTGAGAGGATGGAGTAGGGCAGAGCTGGGTTCTAATCTTGTGTGACCTTAACTTCGAGCCTCAAGCTTCTTTTTCTTTAAATGGGGAAAATCATACTCACCTCATAGTGGTAACATCTGAAGCCCTGGCACACCGGAGGTACTTACCAATGGTTCATTTTCTCCCCTTCCCTCTTCCATAGTTGTTAGTTCAGGACCAGGGCAGTCTGGTGACTCTGACACCAACTTTTCCCCCTTCACCTTCTTAGAGACTTCCTACATCATAGCACTGCAAAGGCCTGGGGGGCAGGGAGGTGGTTAAATATTTGCAAACCCTTCTCTAAAGACTACTCTTCTCCAAAGTGACTTTCTCCCCTCTCCCAGTTGACCTTCTGGTCAGTGAGAGATCTCTGAGAGTTATCTTGAGAAAGCTGGCCCATGGGTAGCATGGTGGGGTTGAGGGAGGGGAGGGGTCAAGCAAAGCAGCAGATGGTTGTGGCTGCAAGTTGTTCCTGATGGAAGGTCTCACATCTTTTGTTCTGTTGGAACAGTTGACTTTTATAAAGAAAATCCTCACCCAAGGATACTTCTTCCCCCATTTTTATCTTCAGATGGAGTGGGGGAGAGAGAGAGAAACATCCATTGGTTGCCTCCCGCACAACCCTGACAAGGGCTGGGAACTGAACTGCAACCAAGGTACGTGCCCTTGACCAGAATCGAACCCTCGACTTTTTGGTCCGTGAGCCGACGCTCTACCACTGAGCCAAACCAGCCAGGGCGGAACAGTTGACTTTTGACTCCTCACCACACCAGACCGTCCCCTGTAGTCATGAGGGAGATCATTCTCAAATGCAAGTCTGTGGCCCCTGCTCTGTGGTCCGGCGCTTGCTGACCTTTTCAGCCTGATCTCCTGCCTTCTTTCACACCAGACCTAATTTCCCACAGTCCCCCAGCCCCGTTCCTGTGCCTCCACGTCTTGGCACAGGCCGCTTCCTCTGCCAGGAGGTCACGCTCATCTGTGAACACATACCTGTTCAGTCCCCGAGAAGCACTAAGTCTCCCTGCCCTCCTGCGTGGGACTGTTAATCCCGACTCCGTATGCCCTTCCACAGGTCCTTCAAAGCACCTGCATTATAACATCACAACAGGATATCTCTGCACACTTGTCTTCTGAGCTTCTTTAAGACAAGGACACATCTGATTATTGTTAACTCCTCAATGTTTTGTATGGTGCCTGGCACCAAGGGGCCCTTCCCTGTTGGTAGAATGAAGAAATGAATGGATGCATGGTTGGGCAGATGGGCAGACAGACAAACAAATGGAACTTGTTGAGACAGGGGCTACAGCTTCACTGAAATGAGAGCAGCCCCCAACCTTATGCCCCAGCCTTTTTCTGGCAGTGAGGGCTGTTTTTTCCCCACACTACACCTTGATCACTAGACTAACAGCCCTTAAGTTCTAGGAGCAAGAATGGAACTCCCTCCCATCTTAACATCCCCCGCCCAAAGATTTTTATTCACAAGGATACAATTCAAAGCCAGGCAGAGCCTGTTTACTGAGAACCTACCATATTTGAGGGACTGCGGTGACACAGTGACAGGAGATAGCCTGAAAATGCTTTCAAAAAGTGACTGTGCTTTTAAATTCATCATTGACATGATCATTTTCATAAATGCAAGGTGCTCTGGTTCCAATGATGGTTCCTTCAGGAAGTCCTTTTGACAGCAGCAAAGAGGGAAGAGTAGGCAGCTCCCTGGTAGGAAATCCCCTTTCTTGCCAGGATTCATTGGATTTCCACCATGAGGGAACCCCTGGCCCATACGATGGTCCAGAGCCAAATAAATCATACTTTGTTCTCACAGCTCTCTGGGAAAATTAGATTCAAATGGGTATTCGAATCACCTCGAATGAGAACAGCGTGTATGGAAGGGCAGTCTTACCCTGTGAAGAGAGGACCCTCCGGTCTCTGCTAGCACATTTGGGCCCACTTCCTCTCGCTTGTGGCTCAGCACCAGCAGGGCGGAGGCCCCGGTCTTGGACTGGACCTGCCACAGTCCTCAGAGCCCATGGCTGAGCTGGCTCCCTCTCTCCACTGTATCATTTCCGGGGGGACAGGATGAGCCCCTCAGAATTGTCTATTCGAGACTTAACTCTTAGCCAAGGCTCACCCCCAAATAGTTGCTGCTCCCTGTCAGCACCCTGCTTAATCCCAGGACGGTCACAGGGCAGGGGCAAAGCGGGATAGTGAGGGGAGCAAGGCAGCACTGAGTGGGAAGCCCCAAGCCCCATGGGAGATGGGATTTTATGGGGCAATAGCTGCCAGGGGCACCCCGAGGGGCAGGAGACTCCAGCAACACCCAGCATTGTCCTGGGCGGGGGCAAGGAGGGAAGGCAAGATTCTGGAAGCACTGACATGGCTTAGCCTGGGGTTTGGGAGCAGGTAGAAGAACTAGAAAGTGAGGGAGGCTGGGGCCAGGAAAAGAGCCCTTTGCGTCCGACCTGTTTGGAAAACCAGGGCTTGAGGGTGTTGGGGCTACTTTGCAGCAGCCTCTTCAGTTAGGTCCCCCTTTTGGACCCCTCTTACTCCTATGTGCCCCACCTTGATGTGTCCTTGGCCCTGGCTCCCCTGCAGTGACAGTGGGTGCTCACTAGCTTGCTCTGAGGCAACCGAACAAGCATGCTCACTCTTTCCTAGCACCCAGGGCCTGCCGGGCAGCTGCCTGGAACGGTGAGACGTGCCTGGCCCTCACAGCTTACTCCTGTTCCCTAGAGCCCCCTGACCGCCCTCTCTCTCTCTCTGCAGTCCCACCCCCTGTACCTGTGCAACGCCAGTGATGACGACAATCTGGAGCCTGGATTCATCAGCATCGTCAAGCTGGAGAGTCCCCAGCGGGCTCCCCGCCCCTGCCTGTCACTGGCCAGCAAGGTAGACGCACACTCGACCCCACATATGTTCTGAACTTCACCCAGTTCCAGTCCGTGAGAGGCCCCTGTGCTCGCTGGCCCGTTGTCTCCTAAGGGATGTGTGCCCAGTTCACTCAGGTTTTCCTGAGCCACTTCTGAGAGGTGCACACTCAGGCCTCTGTCTTTTCCCACCATCTACCAGTAGAACTTTAAAAAATTGTTAAATTTTATTTACTTCTTTTTTTTTATTAATTAATTAATTAATTTTTGTTACAGATGTTTCTCCTTTTCCCCCCACTGATTCCCCCCACCCCCGCCCTGTCCGCAGTTTGTTGTCCATGTCCACTGTTCATGCACACATGCATAGAAGTTCTGTGGTTTATCTCTCCCCCACCGCCCCCTCTTCTGGGGATTGTCAGTCTGTACCCCACTTCCACGTCTCTGGGACTACCCCATTCCTGTTATGGAATTATGTTCCATTATATTATGTTCATTATATTCCACAAATAAGTGAGATCATATGATACTTGTCTTTCTCTGTTTGGCTTGTATTTACTTTATTTTTATTGATTTTTTTTTGAGAGAGAGGAAGGGAGAAAGAGATTGAGAAACATCGATGTGTGTCCACTTATTTATGCATTCATTGATTGATTCTTGTATGTGCCCGGACTGGGGATCGAACCTGCAACCTTGGTGTATTGGGATGATGCTCTAACCAACTGAGTGGCTTGGCCGGGGCCATACCAGGAGAACCTTTTGACTGTTACCTAGGGCATGTGCCCTACTCCATCACCTGGAAGTTTCTGAACCCTTTCCTTGCCCAGCATCAGAGCAAATGGGACAGTGGAGGGCTTTTCCATCTTTTGGAACCGTTTGCTGAGCCCTATGCAAGAAGAGCGGGAACAGAAGCCATTGCCCACCCTTAAAGAGTGCCCGCTCTTTCTCCCAGATTGCAAACAGGTGGCCCCACATTTCCAGGGCACCACTGGCTGGAGCTGGCAGCAGCCGCAGCCTTTCCAGACATGTGCTTTCTGGTTGCCATGCTCCCCAGTGGCCTGCCTCCTCGCAGGCCCTGGAAACGGTGACCCCTGCTTTAACATCCGTTACAGTTTTCTGTGTACTTACCATGTGCTAGGCGGAACGTGGGAGAGATTCTTTCTACATATTGTCTCATTTACTTTTCGCAACAATCAGGAAAGCTAGACATTATTATTCCCTATCTGACATATAAGGCGAGTGAGGATCAGAAGGGTTAGGTAACTTGCCAGGATAACACAGCTAGGAAGGGTGGGGCTGAGATGTGAACTGAGCCTTGTCCAGTTCTCAAACCTGGCTTTTACTCTCTCTGCTCTGTTGCCTCCTATTCTGGCTGGGAAAACAATGTACGTGGAAAGATGCTCATGAGGACATAAGCCAGAGTGTAGTTAGATTGTGTGGCACAGTCAGGGGACTTGGAGGTGAGGTCCTGCTCCCAGCGGGTGATGGTCCCTGCCTGTGTACTGCTCACTACACTCCGGCCCAGATCCCCTGAGCATGTTCTGATCCTCCTTGAGCTCGGTTTCCTGAGCCATGAGTCTCAAGGAAACAGCTGGGGTTCTTACATGATCCCAAGGGGGCAGGGATGTGGGCGGGGTTCTAAATGTGCTGCCCACAGGTAGGTGAAGATGTTCTCCCAGGCAGACCATGCAGATGCAGAGGGGGTTTCCGGGAGGTGGGAGACCAGCCAGGGTGCACCTGGAGGAGCTGGAGAGGGTGGTGTCTCTGCAAGGCTGGGAGGGTCCATAATGGCAGCAGGACTGTGTGAGGCTGAAGCTACCCTGCTTCTGGCTATTGTGTTTCCCTTGCTTTACAGAATATGGGCAAATGTCATTCATTTATTCATTTGGTAGACAAGTACTCAGTGTTAGGTGGTGTGAAAGTGAGGGAGAATATGTGTGTGTGAGAGAGAGAGATGGGGGAAAGGGGTTCAGAGAAGCTCTTAGAGGAATGTATGATTCCTCGTACCTGTGAACACCTGGCAACCTGTCAGGACGTGTCCACATAGGAGGCTTTCTTCCCACCCCCCGAAGGAGCGACCTCCTGCAGGAGATGGGGCCTGTGCACAGACACTGGGAAGCAAGGAACCTGCGGCTAGTGCTCTTTGAGCTACTGAACTTTACTGGTGGTTTCCACCACCATAAAATGGGACTTTTATTTCCTACCCAAGCAATTATCGTGAGGATGAAAATAATGTATGTCAAGTGCAAAATGGTGCCTGAGCTACAACCAACACAAACCAAAAACACCACAGGGATTTAGAAGTACCTTAGCCATTGCTGTGACCTGGTCTTTCTTGACCTCTGTGGTCACTGCCCACACTTCCTCTGCCCCTGACCCCCACTGCACTCTCCCTGGCATCTCCACCCACCACTGAGTGGGAACCTCTGGTAGGAACTGCTCTGGCCCCAAGCTGTCCCACTGGTCAGGTCCAAGGCCTCCCTCAGCCCTCAACCTTTGACCTGACCTAGTAGCTCCAACTGTGATCCCCTGGCCTGAAGGGGTCTGTGAAGGCAGTAGGGTGGGTTTTTGAGCTCCTGCCAATATTTTTGAGTCCCATAGGCTTAACTGAAATATTTAATTTTTGCTTTTGATTGGAATTCTAACAATTCAATGTGTTAATACAAGTTATTTCATGGGAAAATGTGGCACGTAATAAATGCAGCTAGTTTGGTAAAATATATATTATAGATTTTTGTTGTTGTTGTTAATCCTCACCCGAGGATATTTTTTCTTTTCTTTTTTTTGAGAGAGTGGAAGAGAGGGAGGGAAAGACAAAGAGAGAGAGAGAGAGAGAAACATCTATGTGAGAGAGAGACATAGATTGTTTACCTCCTGTGCAACCCCAACCCTGGGGTAGGGCTCAAACCTGCAACCCAGTCACATGCTCTTGACTGATAATCAAACTCTCAACCTTTCCGTCCACTGGCCGACACTCTAACCGCCGAGCCAAACTGGCCAGGGCAATATATATTTTTAAATAGCTCAAGGGAGCCCTGGCTGGTTTGGCTTAGTGGTTGGAGCATCGACCTGAGGACCAATGAGTCACAGGTTCAATTCCAGTCAAGAACACGTACCTCAGTTGTGGTTTGTCCCCGGCCTGGTCGGGTTGTGTGGGAGGCAATCAGTCGATATGGCTCTATCACATCGCTGTTTCTCTCTGTCTCCCTGTCTCTTTCTCTCCCTCCCTCCCTCTATCTGATGATAAATAGAAAAATATCCTTGGGTGGGGAATAAAAAAAAAAAGCTCGAGGGAACCATGACAAGTTTGGCTTAGCAGTTAGAGTGTCGGCCCACAGACCAAAGGGTTGTGGGTTTGAATCCAGTCAGGGGCACGTGCCTGGGTTGCAGGTTTCATACTCAGCCCTGGTGGGGGTCGTGTGGGAGGCAATCAATGGATGTGTCTCTCTCACATGAATGTTTCTCTCTCTCTCTGTCTCCCTCCCTCCCTTCCACTCTCTCTAAAAGAAAAATCAGTGGAAAAATATCCTCGGGGGAGGATTAACAACAACAAAGAAAATAGCTCAAGGGAGGCATAGGTAAAGGGTGGGTCTTTGGTAAGGAAAGTTTGAAAGTCACTGACCTCAGTCAGCTCCGCTCTGACATATCCATTAGTGTCAGAGGTCCCTTCACCATTGACAGGCTGGGCCTGAAGCCCGGCCTCTCCACTGCCCCCCAGTGCTGCCTGGACATTTTAGCTCACTTCTCTGAACCTCTGTTTCCTCATCTGTAAAAGGGGAATGACAGTGGGACGGACATCACAGGTGGTTATGAGAATTCAGTGAGATGTCCCGATAGAAACTCTTCGCCTTATGCCAAGCACACAGTGACACTCAGTGAATCGTCTCAGTGTCACTGTTGTCAAAACAGAGCAAGGTCCGTTTTTCTTTCACTGCTGTCTTTCTCGATCTCTGAAACCCTCATCATAACTCTTCTGGATTCGTCCATTCTTGTCACTACCAGCCCCTCTCCCCCTATCTAGTCACCCAAACTGCTTGCTGTTTCTTTATTAGCAACTCCACAGCCATATTTGTGACTACACAGGCTTTATCACCTCGTGCCTGGACTAGAGCAGTGGCCCTTTGCCTGGGGGAAGGAGCTGGCTCTGGAGGCAAGCAGATGGGCATGAGCCTTGCCCCTCTTACTACAGAGACCACTATCTGGTAACCAGGCACTCACAAGGCTGAAGTCCTGGCTTTCCTCAACTCCAAAGAAGGCCTGATGCCCTGGTCGGTGTAGATCAGTGGTTAGAGCATCAACCTGTGCACCAAAGGGTCATGGGTTCAATTCCCAGTTAAGGGCATGCACCTGAGTTACAGGTTCAATCCCCAGCCCCAGTCAGGGTCATGTAGGAGGCAACCAATCGATGTTCTCTCTCACATCGATGTTTCCCTCTCTTTCTCTCCCATCCTCCTTCCCTCCCACTCTCTCTAAAAATCAGTGGAAAAACATCCTTGGGTGAGGATTAACAACAGCAAAAGAGAAGGCCTGGTGACCATCTTCTAGAGTTGTTGTGAAGAGTAAACAAAATCATGGACTCCAAGAACATCATGACAGCTGATGTAATAATAACTAATGTGTAAGGAACATATGCTGTGTGCCAGGCGCTATTATAAAGCTTTACATGGTTTAATTTATATAGTCCTCAAAACAATCCTGTGAAGCAGGTTCTGTTATTACTCCCAGTTTACAGAAAGGAAAACTGAGGCACAGAACAGTTAAGTGACTTGCCTAGAGTCTCAGTTAGTAGCAGATTCAGGACTCAAAGCTAAGCAGTCTGGGCAGAGTGGGTCTCAAAAAAGGTTATATCCCTTCTAGGTCCTCCTACCCTTGCTTTCAGGCCCAGGTGAAGCCCACCTCTTCTACTGACTCTTCCCTGATAAGCTCAGCCCAGCTAGCCAACTAGGAGCAGAATCCCTCCCTCCTGGCACACTGTCAGGGTCTCTGGCCATGCTTTTCATACAAGGTTTCATGGAGGTGTCTTGGGGAAGGGGGAAACCAAGGGTCCTTCTTACCCCCACCCCTGCCTGTTTTGTATATTTGATCTGTTTTATATATTGAAGGTGTGTGTGTGTGTGTGTGTGTGTGTGTGTTTGGGGGTAGTGGAGCGAGGGCTCTTTGCAGTGAAAAAAAGTTTGGAAACTACTGGTCTATTTCATTCATTTGTGTTCTAGAAGGTGGTTATCAGCATTATAATTTTATTTATATGCCCTGTCTCCACAACTAGGTTATGGGTTGTTCTGGAGGCCTGGCCTTCCCTGGTGTGATGCCCTGGGCACAGTAGTGCTCAGTGAATGTTTGACAAGGAGGAGATGTACAGAGACTGTCACTGTGTCTGGAGAGGAAGATCTAAGGCCCAGAGAAGTGCAGAGTGTAGTGTAGAATCCTGGGCTGTATTGGCTCTCATTGCTGGAGGCTGTGGGTAGCCTTGCTTGCTGCCCCTAGGGGGCTGGCTGACTCTTTGCAGCTCCCAGAGGTCTCTGGGTTGTTCTCCGTTACTCTCTGCCTTCCAGATTCCAGTCCCCTGAAGAAGTGCTTCTTTTTCTCCCTCCCTCCCACTTTCTCTATTACAGGTGGACTGAAGGGAACATGGATAGGTAGCCCCAGAGGCCTCCAGTCTTGCTTTTTGATTCCTAGAACTCTGAACACAGGCACCCACTGCCTGAAAGTCCTTTTTGTTTCCCCTCTTGGCCAACTTTCTCTCTTTGATCACTTTTACAACTTTGTAATTATGGGCTGTAATCGGCTGGGGTGTTTGAACGTCAGGGTAATTACTTTCCACTGTTCCTACCCCAATCCTTCAAAGAGAGAGGGGGGGAAGTAAGAAAATCTCCAGAGAAGGAAGTCTGTGCCCTTCTGTCATGTTCTTCCAGGCCAGGCTGGGTCCAGGGTCTCACTCTGGGCTCGAGAAACACGAGGCCCTGGCAGCATGGAGGATCCAGGAGTCTCAATTCTGTAACTACTGGGTGACCTCTCCACCCCTTGGCCAAGTCCTGGACTCGGAGATTAGCTGAAGGAGTCTCTCTCCTTCCCCCTGGGGCTGCTCCTCTACCCTGGCTTGGAGGGCTTGGGAAATTGGAGAGCTTTTTGCCTGGGGTCACCTAAGTGGGTGGACTTCCTGGGAGGAAGTGGGCAGGAGGGGGATGAAGGCCGTGGCCTCTCAGTTTCATCAGTAACTTCATTCTGGAGTCCTGTGAATTTCCAGTCCATTAGCCTGGCGAGCTTGGGCCTGGGCTGGGGCTGGGGCTGGGGCTGGTAGAGGCCCAACCCAGCTTCTCTGGGAGAGGAGGGAAGAGAAAAGTTACCCTCCTGACCAAAACAGGGCCCCACCTGAATGTCTCCACCATCGTCCCCTGGCTCCCCTGCCAGCAGGCTGCCTGTTCTGAGGGGCCCTTGGCTTTGCTGCCACCTGGGAGTAGGGTGCAGGGATCGGGAGCACTGGCCGCTCCCCTGGCCTGCCTGGCAGGAGACCTGCCCCAACAGGCTCTCTCCGGGAAGGGAAGCAGAGATCAAAGCCCTGAGAGTGTGAGTAAGCCCCAGCACTGGCTCCTCTTCTGCCACCACTACTTGCAGAAGGATTAACTCCTTCAGTGCCTTCAGGAAGGCCCCAAAGACTCCGTAGGCCCCCAGGGGCATGAGGGCCCAGCCTGATGCCATTCCAAGACCAGCCTTTGCTATAGGGAGGAAGTCTGGAGGCGGCTGTGCTGGGCAGGGAGACCAACACTAAGGCCAGGAGCGGTGTCTGCCTGTCGGTTTGCCCTTGTGCCTCTACCTGCCCTCAGCTCTTATCTCCTTTCTTTTACCCCACACCCAGAGCCCCTAGATTTCTGCTTTTTGTTCTCTTTCTGGCTCTGCTCTCTTCGCCTGGTTGGCTAATTCTGCTTCCCCAGCCTGCTCCTGGAGCCTTGGAGAGCATGTATGTGCACACGTGTACAGCTGTGTCCTTGTGGGAACAGCCTCTCAGGGCCCTCCACCTGAGTCTCTAGTGCCACCTCCCAGAGAGGAGATGCAGGGATGAAGCGCTGGACGGGGACTCCATTAAGTCCTTGAATTGGAGTCAGAGAAAGAGTTGGCAAAGTCGAGTGTGGCAGGAAGAGAGAACCCACGAGAAGAGCTGAGCCTGGGGCGCTGCCATGGAGACCGTGGGGAGGAGCAGTGTCCCAGGCTCTTGGAACTTTGCCTGAGCTGGGGGGATGCCCTGCAGTCTCCTCTTGTCAGGCAGAGCTGGACCCTGCAAAGCCCAGCTCTGTTCTGAAGCAGCCCCCTACTTCTCTGCTCTGGGGACTGGTCATCCTCACTCCCTAGGGTACTGGCCACACTACTCTCTGTTCTCACTCTTAGGGAAGGCAGACTGGTGGAATCCTGAAGCAGGGGCTACTTTATTTGGCCTTAGCCTTAGAGCCTAGTTGACCACCTGGCACCTACTAAACCCTTGTTAAAGATTTGTTCCATTACAAAAGGAAGGCCTGAATGTTGTCCTTGAGGGCAGTGGGACCTGGGTGAACTCAGGGCAGGGCAGGGACCCCTTACATGTGAGTGTGCAGGGGTGTGGTGTGTGCAGGGCTGCGGAGTGTGCAGGGGTGAGGTGTGCGCAGGGGTGTGGAGTGTGCAGGGCTGCGGAATGCGCAGGGCTGTGGAGTGCGCAGGGGTGCGGTGTGTGCAGGGGTGCGGAATGCGCAGGGCTGTGGAGTGCACAGGGGTGTGGTGTGTGTATGGGGTATGGAGTGTGCAGGAGTGCGGAGTGTGCAGGGCTGCGGATTGTGCAGGGGTGCAGAGTGCACAGGGGTGTGGAGTGCGCAGGGGTGAGGTGTGCGCAGGAGTATAGAGGTACGGAGTGTGCAGGGGTACAGTGTGTGCAAGGATGTGGAGTGTGCAGGGGTGCGGAGTGTGCAGGGGTGTGGAGTGCGCAGGGGTGCGGAGTGTGCAGGGCTGCGGAATGTGCAGGGGTGCAGTGTGTGCAGGGGTGCGGAGTGTGCAAGGTCCTGGGAAAGGGTGGACGTGTGAGGAGGTAAGGCAGGGCATGTATGGGCTGTGTCCTTCTCTGACCCAGCTGGGCCTCTGTGTGTCTCTGCAGGCCCGAATGGCAGGTGAGCGAGGAGCCAGCGCCGTCCTCTTTGACATCACTGAGGATCGAGCTGCTGCGGAGCAGGTACCCAGGGACAGTGGGGTGTTGGAGGAGGGGGCTGGAGGGAGGAAGATGAAGTGACAGGGGATGGAGAAGTCTGGACACAGCAGCCCCTGTGGGCACTTTCCCTCTGCAGCTGCAGCAGCCCCTGGGGCTGACTTGGCCCGTGGTGTTGATCTGGGGTAATGATGCCGAGAAGCTGATGGAGTTTGTATACAAGAACCGAAAGGCCCATGTGCGGATTGAGCTGAAGGAGCCCCCCACCTGGGTAAGCACTGCAGCTCTCCAGACCCTGCCCCAGCACCTGCTCTTACCCCCCCCCCACCCCTGCCTTTGTCTCAAGGCATCTCCCACCTTAAGCCCTTAGACTCCTGGAGCTGGAGAGACCTTAGAAACCCCTAGCCCAACTTCGCCCACCAGCTGTGTGCCTCTGGGCATTTTCTTTTCCTCTCTGGGCCTCATTTGCAGAAAGAACAGATGGGGCCTGTTGACTTCTAAAGCTGTTCTCAGCTCTGTGGTTTTGCAGTACAGAGCAGCAGAGCCGGAATGAAACCCTGGCCCCTGGCCCCTGGCCCCTGAACCCTGGCTGGTGTTTCTCTGCGGGCTAGGAACCTCACCCAGCTGCTCACTAGGTAGCTCCCAGCTCTCAGAGGGGTCCCTTCCCCTCTTTTTCCAAGCACAGGGATCTTCAGATAGTACCTTTCACAGCTTACATCTGCAGGGCCCTCTCCTACAAGTGCCGTGGGCAGAGAGGAACCACCTAACCTCACCTGCAGGTTCCTCCCACCTCATCCCCCTGCTGGGAGACTCAAGGGGACCTTTAGTAATCTTTTTTTTTAAATCCTCACTTGAGGATATTTTCTATTGATTTTCAGATAGAGTGGGAGGGAGGGAGGGAGGGAAGGAGAGAGAGAGAAACATTGATGTGAGAGAGACACATCAATTGGTTGCCTCCTGCATGACCCCAACCAGGGCCAGGGATCAAATGGCAACCAAGGTACATGCCCTTGCCCAGAACTGAACCTGAGACTCTTTGGTTCGTGGGCCCATGCTCTAACTGCGGAGCCAAACCAGCCAGGGCCCTTTAGCAATCTTTATGTCACCTGGGCTCCTGTGTTCCTGCCAAATTGGCCCAGTTCCTTCCAGAACTATGATTCTCTCCCTTTCTGCTCACTCCCCCAGCCAGATTATGATGTGTGGATCCTCCTGACAGTGGTGGGCACCATCTTTGTGGTCATCCTGGCTTCGGTGCTGCGCATCCGGTGCCGCCCCCGCCACAGCAGGCCGGTGAGCAGGGTGGGCTCCCTGGTGGAGGTGTGTGTGTGCATGTATGGGGGAGGGTAGGAGCAGGAAATAAAAGTGAGGAAAGAAGGTGCCTTTATGCCCATGAAACAATTTACATCTAAACACACATACATTTGGCTTTGTTGATTTCCTGCAGCCTCTCCATAGGTTTGCTTATTTGTTCATTCATCCAACAAATACACTGAGCTCCCTCCCTCGTATGTGCCAGGCAGTGAGCTCCCTCCCTCGTATGTGCCAGGCAGTGTTCCCGGGACTGGGGGTAGGCCAGGGAACAAAAAGGACAACAGATCCCTTCCCTCAGGAGCTTTCATTCTAGTGGGAAGGGACAGATGAACAAAATAAATAAGTAAAATATATAATATTTTAGATGGTGGTATGTGCTAGTGAAAAATAAAATAAATAAAATAAAATAGAAAGGGGGAGAAGGAATGCAAAGGGGACAGAATTAATTTTAAAAAGTAAGGCCAGGAAGCCTCATTGAGATGACATTACAGGAAAGACCCTAAATGGGTGAGGGGGTGACCTGTGCAGGTGTCTGGGGACAAAGTGATGGAGTGGAGAAAGCAGTAAATGTAAAGACCTTGAGTCAGAAGCCTGCAGGAGTCTGAGGAGCAGGGAGAAGAGCCTGTGACTGGAATGAGGGAGTGAGAGGGCAGAGCAGGAGGCAGGGACAGAATTCACAGGGCCCCATTGTATTGGACTGTTCAGGCCATCGTCAGGACTTTGTTTTGTACTCTGAGTGACGTGAGAGCCATTGGAGGGTTTGGACAGAAGGAGTGCCATGATCTGACTTAAGTTCTAACATGATACCTCACCTCTTTGTGGAGACTAGATTACAGGGAGCAGGGCTGGAAACGGAGAAACAACTAAGAGGCCATTACAGGAATGCAGGTGGCAGCAGTGATGGCTTGCTAGGGAGAGAGCAGTGAAAGTGGTGAGCATTAGTTCAGTTCTCCGCATATTTTGAAGGTAGAGCGAACAGGTTTACTGATGGGTTGATCATGGAGTGTGAGAGAGAGGAGTCAAGAACAGCACCAAGATTTCTGGCCTGAGCACCTGAAAGAATGGAATGCCATTCACTGAGATGGGGAAGACTGGGGGAGGGCAGGTCTGTGGTTAGGGGTGGCCAATTAGGACTAGAGAATTCAGTTTGGGGCACATTGGGGGATTGAGGAAGGGGTTGAACAGAGTTGGACATGCCAGTTAGATATCCAAGTTGAGATGTTATGCAGGTAGTTGGATAAAAATTTTCTCCGTTGGTCATCAAGGGCAGGACAGCTGGATGAGTGGGGGAGCTGGGGGAGAAGGCTTGGCCTGCTTGGCAGAGCCATATATGAGCTTGAAGGGGACAAATTTTCAAAGGTAGTCGATTGACCACATGATCTATCTGGGTGACCGGGAACTGAGTACAAGCTGGGGTCCAGGGGTGAGGGACCCCATTCTGAGCCCTACCCTTTTTCCCAGGACCCCCTTCAGCAGCGAACAGCCTGGGCCATCAGCCAGCTGGCCACCAGGAGGTACCAGGCCAGCTGTAGGAGGGCCCGGGCTGAGTGGCTAGACTCGGGGAGCAGCTGCAGCTCAGCTCCTGTGTGTGCCATCTGTCTGGAGGAGTTCTCTGAGGGCCAGGTAAGGCAGGGTTTGTGGGTCACCTCTGTGACCAGGTTGGGGAGGGAGACTGGAGCTTGGGGGAGGAGGCTGGTGCGGGTGCTTTGGCTGCATCTGTGTCCTTTGTATCCTGCACGGGGCAGAGGTAGGGGACAGCTCTGGGGTTTGGTTATTTTTCCGGTCTTCCAAGGAAAGAGAACTGTTGTTTGTTGAGTGTGTACCATGTGCCAGGCTCTGCAGTGGGTGCTTTAGATGCATTATCTCCTTTTAGTCTCATGACCATGAGGGGTGAGGGTAGATTAGTTTTTTATCCTTTTGCACAGCAGAAAACTGCTAAGAAAATTGCCCAAGGTCATGCAGCTAAGTGGCAAAATCCAGTTCTACCTTATAGCCCATTCCTTTTCTATTCTACTAGGAGGTCTTTTGCAAGTAGATGATAGCAAAATGGAGAGGGAATTAGGGGGACATCCTGGTTCCTGGAAACTCCTGTAGCTACAGATAACTTTGGTTCGGGCCCCCCTGTTTTCTCCAGGAGCTACGAGTCATTTCCTGCCTTCACGAATTCCATCGTGCCTGTGTGGACCCCTGGCTGCACCAGCATCGGACTTGTCCCCTCTGCATGTTCAACATCGTAGGTAGGAGGTGGGCCAAGGTCTGCTCTGTGTATGGGCAGATGGGGCGAGAACCTGGCTTCCCTGGGAAAGTGGGAGAGAGCAGCACTGCCCCAACAGTTCTTTAAGCTGTGCACTGTTCAGGCAAGGAATGCCTGGTCTCAGGGAAAGGGCCTTCACATCGCAGACACCTTTATTATTCTAAAAATTATTTTTACGACAACTTTGTTGAGTCTAAATCTGAATTTGTGTATTTATTATTCCAACTTTCTGGCAATAAATTATCCTATTCTAACAAAGCCAGGATATTATGACAATTTTCTAAGAGATGTAAATGAAATATCTTTTTTTTTTTTTTGTACAGATAGAGTGGGAGGGAGAGAGAGAAAGAGAGAGAGAGAGAGAGAAACATCGATGTGAAAGGGACACATCGAGTGGCTGCCACCCACATGACCAACCAGGGCCGAAGACAAACTGCAAGCGAGGTACATGCCCTTAGCAGGAACCGAACCCGGGTCTTTCCGGACCGCAGGCCAACGCTCCAACCGCTGAGCCAAACTGGCCAGGGCTAAATGAAGTATCTTAAGGAAAAGAGCCTTTTTCTAATTCACCCAAAGGTACAGTGTGGGCTTGCAGTGGGCTGGAAGAGCAGGGTTGCCGTGCACAGCGGAACTCCCTGGGGACAGCCTGACTGGAGGGAGCAAGGGCATCCCAGGGCATATGCAGGTTAGGAAGGTCCTTGGTCCTTCCGACTGGGCTCGCAGGCTCCACAGGCGCACATTGCTATGCTGTGGCCACACCTTTCTGAATGCACCCTCCGTAGGTTATACAAACACCTGTGCTCTTGGTTCTTTCTTCCAGAGGGAGATTCATTTTCCCAGTCCCTGGGACCCTCTCGATCTTACCAGGAACCAGGCCGAAGACTCCACCTCATTCGTCAGCATCCTGGTCATGCCCACTACCACCTCCCTGCTTCCTACCTGCTGGGCCCTTCCCGGACTGCAGTGGCTCGGCCCCCACGACCTGGTCCCTTCCAACCATCCCAGGAGCCAAGCCTGGGCCCTCGGCACCACCGCCTCCCCAGAGCTGCACATCCCCTGGCTCCAGGCGAGCAGCAGCGCCTGGCAGTGGCCCAGCACCCCTTTGCACAGGGCTGGGGTCTGAGCCGCCTCCAGTGCACCTCACCGCACGCTGTCGCCTGCCCCGCACCCCCTCGCCGTGCCAGGCCTCATGACAGCAGTGGGTCTGCAGAAAGCTACTGCACAGAGCGCAGTGGCTACCTGGCAGATGGGCCAGCCAGTGACTCCAGTTCGGGGCCCTGTCATGGCTCTTCCAGTGACTCAGTGGTCAACTGCACGGACATCAGCCTGCAAGGCATCCATGGCAGCAGTTCCACCTTCCGCAGCTCTCTCAGCAGTGACTTTGACCCCTTGGTATACTGCAGCCCTGACGGGGAGCCCCGGGGGGAGGAGGCTCAGCCCAGCCTGACCTCGCGGCCCCGGTCGTTGGACTCGGTGGTGCCCAGAGGGGAAGCACAGGTTTCCAGCCATGTCCACTACCACCGCCATCGGCACCACCACTACAAAAAGCGCTTCCAGTGGCATAGCAGGAAGCCTGGTGCAGAAACGGGGGTCCTCCAGTGCAGGCCTGCTGTTCCGTGGACACAGCCCCAGCCAGAGCCGCCTTCTCCTGATCAGCAAGCTGCCAAATCCAACACTGCAGCCCCGTCAGGGCAGCTCCCCAACCCATCGCGGCCCAGGGCCCTCACAGAGCCAGCCCCAGAACTAAAGGATGCTTCCAGCCCCAGTCCCAATCCCAGCAGTCTCTTCCACTTGCAGAAACCCAGCTTCCCTGTCCGACACCCGCAGAGGAAACGGCGAGGGGGTCCCTCAGAGCCTACCCCAGCCTCTCGGCCCCAGGACTTGACTACACATTCAGCTTGCCAGATTTTCCCCCATTATGAACCCAGCCTGGCGTACCCTTGGTCCCCAGAGGCCCACCCATTGATCTTTGGACCTCCGGGCTTGGACAGGAGGATGCTACCCGAAACCCCAGGCCCCTGTTACTCAAGTTCACAGCCAGTGTGGTTGTGTCTGACTCCACGCCAGCCCCTGGGAGCACACCCACCTGGGGAAGGGCCTTCCAAGTGGAGTTCTGGCACCCCAGAGAGCAGGCCATGCCCTTACCCACACTGCCAGGTGCTGCCAGCCCAGCCTGGTGAGTTTTCAGGGGAAGCGGGTGTGGTGGGGAGAGGAGACTAGAGCTGTGTATTGCAGAATGAATTAAATCAGACAGCAAGGGTTGATGGAAGCTGAAAAGTGTACAACAGGTGTGACATTCAAAATACTGAACGACTGGCATAGCATAGGATGCTGGCCAGAGTGCTCTGGCTCCGCCAGGTGTCTTTCTTTGGTCGCCAGATCATAGAGAGATCTCAGGGAAAGTCCTAGTGTGGGGGAGACATTAGAAAGCACTTGGGATCGTTTGGGGCAGCAGCTCAAATGGCAGTGTTTCAATATTTTAATAATTGGTACAGCTGTACCAATGCATACAGCTCAATGTTAGCTTTAAATACAAAGAAGGCCAAGAAGTATTCCTTGCCCTTGAGAACATGGAGGAGAAATAATTACTGATAACCATAATACCAGGCCATATGAGAAGAGCTATGTGAATTATGCAAAAAGAAAAAAGGTCACGAGCAGCCCCATGGGGCCTTAGGTTTTCTCTTGTCCCCTGGGATAAAAGAACAGATAGGGCTTCCCTTTGTTAATAAAATGGACCTCATGTTCTTGGATCAGTGCATTGCTGTTACTGTATTACAACCAATGGTGATCATGTAAATCCTCAACTTTAAGTTGGTATTTATTTGCTCAAGTCCTCCTCTTCCAGAGCCTTCTACCTCCTGATCTTCCCCGCCTCTCCCACTGTGTGGATGATACAGTTCTTTGCCTACAGACTTCTCTAGGAGGATCCTTTCGTCTAAAACGGGACTCAGAGGTCTTGAAACATAAGACCTCAGAGTCTAAGAATCCTATAGGCAGGACCTGAGAGCTGCTATCATTCATTCATTCCTGTCTTCCTTTCCCCCCTTCCTTTCTGTATTGTATGCTTGCTATGTGCTAGGCTCCAGGCTAGGCTCCAAGGACATGAAACATAATCAAGAGATCCAGGTCCATGAGGAGACAGGCAAGCAAACAGTTACAGTAGAGAAAATACAGGGTGAGGCAAAAGCAGGTTTACAGTTGTTCATATGGAAAATAATGCAATAATTAGTTAATAATAATACAAGAATAAGCTCTGTTTCACGTGCTCACAGCTGTAAGCCTACAAGTCCTGTAATTGTTTCCACAGAGCCATGTAATGCAGGCTTTGGCCATGTGTTTGATGGTTCCATATGGACCCTGTCACGTGTGTACTCTCAGTGCTGCCAGTGACAGACCACCACCTCCCCTCTCTCCCAGTCTCAGAACTAGTTCCAGGGACTCCCTTTGTCCCACTCCTCAAATCCAATCAACACCAGGTTCTGTTAACAGTATCTCTGTGCGCTTTATCAGATTCTCCTCCAGTGCTTATGACCCCTGCCCATGTCTTAGGTGCAACCTACAGATTGAGGCAGAACCTCCTAACCCTTCCCTTCCCTCTCACAGGGCCCTGAAGGCTGGGCACTGCACATCAGTGTCGTGTCCTGGAGAGCGGTGCAGCACAGCTCCCTGCCCGCCCACCCTCTGTACTCTGCCAGGGTCATCTTCCTCAGATACGCTGTCCAGAAATCCTCAAATGTTCTGTTTTGTCCACTGTAAAGAAAAATCCAACCTGGTTTGGCCTTCAAAGCTCTAGCACCATCTAGCCTCCATCTTCCTTCCCAGCCTTATTTTCCAGTCTTCCCCTTCCCTTCCCTTGCTCCATGCTTTAGCCAAACTATGTTGACACTTCTTGCAGTTTTTGCAGCACAGACTATTTTGCTGCCTTCCTACTCCCATAATTCCAATTCTTTCCTATTCCTAAAGGACCAGCTCATTTATCTCCACTTTCAGGAAGCCCTTCCTGATTATTCCACCCGGACATGATCTCTCTCCTTTCTCCATTCATCTCTTATGACCCCAGTCCTGTCCTACTGGCATAATTGCCATTTGCACACAAGCTTCTCTCCTGCAAGGCTGTCAGGTTAGCAGGGGCTTACTCTTTTTGGTCTTCAATTTGGCACATGTTGGCAGGCCAGATTCACAAGTGCTTAATAAATATTTATTGAATAGTATGATTGAATGAATAGTAAATGTTGGCAACACACTGATTGCTATATATATTTCTCTTTCTCTAGATTTTTCTCTCCCCTGTATCCCAACTGGAGCCCCTCTCAGTTTTCAATCTAATCACCCCTCTGGACACTTTCCCTGTTTCCCCCTCTCTGTGACTCCCTCCCAGCCATACTTTCCTGAAGGTGGTATAAGCAAGGGGCTGTGTGACCCTCGGTGACCTCTTTCTTCCCCTCTCTCTACATGCAGGCTCAGAGGAGGAGCTGGAGGAGCTGTGTGAACAGGCGGTGTGAGAGTCCAGGCTTACCTCCAACCAACAGTGTGCCCTGGATGACTCAGGGCCTACTGGGCAGAGTCCTGCTCCTGAGAGAAGAAAGGATCTCTAAGAACACCCCTCTTATCGCCATCCTTTCTGCAACCACTGGAAGAGGAGTGGTGATAGCGGGAGGCAGGAGGTGTTGTTTCCTGCTCCCAGCTCCAGAGCTTGTCTGCAGGACACCTCTGCAGTGTAGCAAGTCTGTGTCCAGCAGGGAACCAGCTACTGTCTGTGTGGGCTGGCTCCCTTGAAGGCTGTTTTTGAGAGCAGGAAGCTAGGTATGGGTAGTTAGGTGTTATAAAGGTGCTGCTCCTTACCCCAGCCCCAGCCAGTCTCCCTCATCCAAAGCCTCATGTTCATACCAGCCATAGGTCCAGCTGAATGCATGACCCTTGTTCACCTCCTTTCTTGGATGTGTCCTGCTCACCAGCTTTGGCTCCTCCTTGGTGAGGCTGCTGTATCAGCGCCAACCTTGGCTCTTATCATTTCCTTTCTTTACAAAAGGATCAAGAGCTAAGGTGACCCCTGAGCCCTAAGAGCAGGGTGGGGTCGGGGGACTCTACAGCTTCTCCAGGCAGTGCCCACACCCATATATAAGGAAATGTGTTTTTCTCTTCTTGTCCTTAATTTTCAGATACACTATATTAAGTCAGAGAGGAGGCCCTGGGAAGCCAGAGTATGGAATCCTCTCCCCAAGGTGGAGCCTCTGATCTTCAAACTCCCCTGTCACTCCAGCAGCCCCAATTCTCCAGGAGTCGGGGATGGAGGGAGTGGGAAGGAAAACTTCCTTGGAGATCTCCTGTCTCAAAGTCTCAAAGTGAGCAGAAAGAAGAGGATTTCTGTTGGACTTCATCTAGGAAGAGGGAGAAGGGAATACAGATAGAAAAGGCAGACTTACAGCTGAACAAGGACAACAAGGAATTCTTCTCTGGGAGTTTCCTCTCAGAGCAGGGATGGGGAACAGGAGAGAACAAAGGGAAAGCAAAGTGGGACCCTTGGGTTTATATGTTCCAGAGGCTCAGCTTCCCAGTATAAGCCATACAGGCCAGGGACACACAGGAAGGTGTGCATGTGAGAGTCAAGTTGGAGCAGGAAGTCTGGTCTGAGGAGCTGGTACCAAGTGGGCAAGGGCTGACGGGCCTCCTTAGGGTGACATGCACCCCAGGGCAGCTTGACCATTGCTGGCCCCTCAGGCATTATCCCATTTGGAATGTGAATGTGGGAGCAAAGTGGGCACAGGTCCCCACCTGGGAAACTTCCCTCAGAGTCAGTGGGGAACTGGCACCTAGGCACTCACATGGTTATTTATATCTGAACCAGACAGAAAGACGCTTGAATCAGGCACTATGTTGAGAAATGTATTTATTTGCTAATATATTTATCCATAAATGCGGTCTGGTCTTGTGGTTTTGTTCTGAGTCACTCAGGGTAACAACATTGTCTTCTACATTGACAGAAATAAATTATGATATCAGAGGCGAGGCTCTGATTTATGAAAGGATAGGGTAGAGTAGGGGGCTTGGCAACAAGAACTCCTTTGCAAGCCTCTAAAAGCATGGTTAACTGAGACCAGGGAAGAAGGCATCACTGGATTCTCACGGTGGTTCAGTCTGTATTATCATTGCACTCTTGACCTCACACTCTAATGCATGACACTGCAGTGACTTTCTTCGTGACCTTGGGCCTCACTTTTCCACCCACAGAATGAGTCTGCTTCGCAGCTGTTGCAGAGCTCCCCGGAGGTAACAGTGAAAGCATGTTCCAAGTGGAAAGGGTTCAGTGACAGCGCACATGCTAACCCCAGTCGCAGAGCCCCCTGAGCACAGCATGGGACCCGCACAAGCAGCAGGCCTGCCTTGAAGAGGCTCCAGTTGTTAGGAGGCCTGGCTGGGAGGACAGAACAGCAGGGCCTAAAACCATCTCACCCCAACTCCCATCAGATCAGCACGGTGCCTGGGCCTGCCTACACGGGGACTGCTGGGGGCCAGCAGAGCTGGGCCTGGAGAGGCCTGGCTTTCCTCCCCACAAAGCACACTCCCCCTTCTGCTTCTCTGGGAAGGTTCGGTAGGGGTGGTGGTTATCTGGTGCCCAATTTTCAACCACAGACCGAGCAAGGCATTTAGCTTCCTACAGGGTAAAATGTAAAAAAAATATAAATAAAAATAAAGGACACTTAATCTCGTACAGATGTTCTGAAGTAAAAGAACTGTCTAAATGCTAAAAGCTACACAGAATATAAATTATCAGCTGGAACAAGGAGACGTACGTAAAGAGTTTTTAAAAATAATTAAATGTGCATTTTTTCCGCCCCGCCGCCCGCTCCCAGGCCAGCATTCCTGTGGACGGCAAATGGACACCCTATAATGCTCCCGCAGTTAGGAGGGCGGGGGGCTGTCCCTGCACTGTCTTTTCGTCTCTGCAGAGATCATCGAGAGGGAAACAGTGGACTCTGGCCCTGCACTTTTAAAACGGGAGGACAAAAAAGAATCTTGGCTGTCAACCGGGATCCTCCTAAAAGAACTGGCGCGCGGCCCGGTGCCAGCGGCCTACATCAAATGGCCCGCGCCGGGCGTGTTCCCGCGCAGGCGCCAGCTGCGCCGCCCCTCCCCCAAGGGCCCGCCCACAGGCCCAACGGCCGCCCCGGCCTCGCCCTCGCGCCGGCCCAGGTGGCGGGGGCGCGCGCCGGCCCAGGTGACTCCCGGCTGGCCCCGCCTCCAGTTGGGAGAAACCATCTCCTAAGGAGGGGGTAAGAACGGGGCCCGCGGCCTCCTACACCGGAAGCGGAAGTCGGAGACGCCGGAAGTTATAAGCATTATGGGTAATTTGCTGTTTCTATTCTGTGGATGAAGCAGCCGTGGAAGCCTCTTGTTATTTTTGTGTCGGAGACGATGGCTCTGGAGACGGTGCCTAAGGACCTGCGGCATCTGCGGGCTTGTTTGTTGTGTTCGCTGGTCAAGGTATGCATCCAGGACCTGGTTGTAGGGGGAATAGGGGACCAAGTTGGGCGAAAGAGGGCGGAACGGGGTATGGGAAGCTGCAGAAGGCCATTGTTTACATCGGTAGGAACAGATCTTGCAGCCGTAGGTACTGCCGGTTTTACATGCCTTTGAACCCTCAACTCTTAGCACAGACCTGACCCTTAAAAGACGTTCAGTGAACTTGTATTGGATCTGAATGACATGGGAGTCAGAGAAGCGTGGGGATCAATAGCAGAGGAGGTAGTTGGAGAGGGTGCTTGACCCTGAGGAGACTAGGAACAGGCATAGGTAAAGCGCAGTTGGGAACAAGAGAAGGAGGAATGTGGGTATGAAACTTAGGGACTGTGGGAGTGATGAGTGGGAGGCCTGATGAGACAGAGCCAACATAGGGAGTCTTCTACTTGACCAGCTAGAAGTATGGAGAAAGCTGCTTTTTCTTTTCGTCTTGTTCATATTCACTTATCTTCTTAAAATTTTTTCCTCGCAGACTATAGACCAGTTTGAATATGACGGTTGTGATAATTGTGATGCATACCTTCAGATGAAGGGTAACCGAGAGATGGTATATGACTGCACCAGCTCTTCCTTTGATGGGTAAGCCCCTTTAGATTTCTTTATTCACTTCTACCTTACCTCCACACCACACCACCAAGTAAATATGGGGCAGACTCTTGATACCATAATCCGGATTGATCTCAAAGTTATTTGAGACACTGTCCAGTACAGTAGCCACTAGCCATGTGTGGCTTTGAGCACATGAAATGTGGCTAGTCCAAATGGAGATAGGCTTTAAGTGTAAAATATATACCAGATTTCAAAGACTTAGCATAAGAAAAAAGAATATAAACATCTTAGTTTTTTTGTACTAATTACATGCCAGTGTGACAGTACTTTGGATATATTGGGTTAAATGAAGTATATTATTTGAGTCAAGTTTACCTTTTTGTCTTCATTGTTTTTAGCATGGCTACTAGGAAATTTAAAATAACTTGTGTGACTTTCATTGTATTTTCACTGTACGTATTTCCATTGGACATTTCTCCACTAGACTGAGCTCATTAATGGTGGTAGGGTAGGGACTGTGTATCTTGTGCACTGGGACCTGGCACAGGGCCTGGAAGGTTATGGATGCTTAATATATGTTTGTTGAATGCATGAAGTACTTTCTGGAAATGAAGAGGAGGGAAGGTACAGTGATGGTAAATTATTGCCCTGAAGCTGATGCCTTTAGATATCTATAAGAAGCCCTATAAGAAAGTTTTCTCTTGCCAGGCTGGTGTGGCTCAGTGGTTTGAGCATAGTCCCATTGACTGAGAGTTCCCAGTTTGATTTCTGGTCAGGGCACATGCCCTGTGTTGTAGGCTCCATCCCCAGTAGGGGGCGTGCAGGAGGCAGCTGATGGATGTTTCTCAATGATGTTTTTATCTCTCTCCCTCTCCTTTCCACTCTCTAAAAAATCAGTGCAAACATTTATTTTTTATTTTTTCAATTCTCACCCAAGTACATTTTTCTATTTATCTTCAGAAAGAGTGGGAGGGAAGGAGAGAGGGAGAGAAAGAGAGAGAGAGGCATCGATTTGAGAGGGACACATCGACTGGTTGCCTCCCACACAACCCCTACCAGGGCCGGGACAAACCGAAACCAAGGTATGTGCCCTTAACCAGAATCAAACCCGTGACTCATTGGTCTGTGGGCTGACGCTCCAACCATTAAGCCAAACTGGCCAGGGCAATAAAAACATAATTAAAAAAAAAGAAAGAAAGAAAAGTTTTCCCTTGTCAAGATTATCCAATGGGAAGAATAGTAAATGAGATAAACCTAAGTAGCCAGGTCTGATTTTCCTTCCCCAAGGTAGGAGCCAGAGGGCAGTATTCTTTGGGGGTTAAGAAGATACTATTGTTTCTGTTATCCTTAGGCCAATTAAGGGTTGAAACACACATTGGGCTTAATTAAACCCAGTACTTAATAAAGTTCCTTCAAGGTGGACCAGCTCCATTCCTTCTTTGATATCTTTTAAGGAAGAATAGAGGATTGGGCAAAAAGATGTCGTAGGACCTTTATTTTCTGTGTGTACAAGTGCACACTCAGATACTTAGTCCTTTTGCTCATTTGTTAGTATCATTTAAAAAAATAAATAACAAACCAAAATGAAGTCACTTCTGCTAAGCCATGGCACCAAACTGAAACTTAATAAGCAACCTAATCAAGATTTCAATCAGTCCCGGGTTTCCTCTCCTGGAATTGTTGTGCTGGCTGGGAACAGAGTAAAGAGGGCAGTTCCTCCATTTTTCTCTTTAGTAGGTGAGGCTCTGGCTGATTATTTCTTTTTCCTTTCTAGAATCATTGCAATGATGAGTCCAGAGGACAGCTGGGTCTCCAAGTGGCAGCGAGTTAGTAAGTATCTCCCTTTCTTCTTATCCCGGACTAAGGATTGTTGCTGTCTCTTGGTCTGATGGGGGAGTCTTAAATCAGTGGGTGAGTGGCTTTCAGAGTGAGAAAGATGGGGTTGTAGGACAGACAAGGAAAATGTCCGGTGCCCTGTCATTTAATATTTGTAGACAGAAGAAGCGATTGCTTTTCTTTTGGAGTTGTAGCCTTTCTTTTATTTGTAGCTTAAGCCTCTATTTGGTCTTTAGTCTTAACTCACTTTCACTGCAATCTCTTTTCTTTCAGGTAACTTTAAGCCTGGTGTGTATGCAGTGTCAGTCACTGGTCGCCTGCCCCAAGGTAATAATCATAATAGAAGCCAATGTTTATTCACTGTACCAAGCTCTGTGGAAGTTCTTTATGTGAATTATCACCAGTCATCATAACTCTGAGGGAATCCAGGCACAGAGAGGTTAAATAACTCGCCCAAAGTTACCCAGCTAGTAAGTGAGGAGCTAGAATTTGAACCCAGGCATTCTGACTCCAGAATCCTTGCTTTTGACAACTACAGTGTGTTTCTTTTTCTTCTCATTCTTACTGAGTGATTGCCAAACACTTGCCTGGATCTTCATTGGTAACAAGGCAACCAAGCGGGACTTTCAATGAGTAGTCTAGGAGTTCCTCCCTGCCCCCAAAGTGGTAGCTGAAGGACCTTTCTTATCTTCGTCATTCACACTGCCGTTTTCTTATTGTGCCATAGGAATCGTACGGGAGTTGAAAAGTCGGGGAGTGGCCTACAAATCCAGAGACACAGCTATAAAGACCTAGCAAGAATCATGGCTGGTAGCGTCTTTGTTGCTGACTCCTGCCTCTGCTTATTTATTGTTGTGAAACTAAATGGACAGAACTTCAGATACTCCTCATTCTTCAATTCTGAGGCTCAACAGACTGTTGAGAGAGCAGCACAGCGTATTCCTGGGACATTTACCTTTTTTGGACTGCTGGTGGGGGTGGGAGTGGTGGGGGTTGGTGGGTTAATAGAGTGAATTGAGTGTGGAGTAAGGTGCTGTTTTTCCTACCCACAGCCCTGGGCTGCCTCCTTGCCCGTGGGCAGGACTCATCAAATGCCAATAAAAGTGAACCCATAGCCCATGACAGATGTCTTGCCTCCTTTTCTCTTAGCTGGGCATGGTAAGAACTCACTTGCTCTTTAAGCATCTTCCCAGAGCAACAGAGGCCCCTGCTGCGTGAGCCTCCAGGGTTGCAGCCTTTGTGGTATGCTTCCTCGGGTCGCATTGGAAGGTCTGCTGTCTGGAGTCTAGGCAATCCCATTCTGGTAGTCCTGATGTCTGCGGGTTGCCACCTTCTGCCCTCGACCTGCACAGCAGGTGTCCTTTGAAGAAATACTGAGACTTAATTTTCTTAAAATATGTTTTTGATTTTTTAGAAAGAGGAGAAGGGAGAGAGAAACATTGATATGAGAGAGAAGCATCAATTGGCTGCCTCCTGTACACCCCCTTCTGGGGATCAAGCCTACAACCTGGCATGTGCCCTGGCCAGGACTCGAACTGGGACCTCTCAGTCCATGGGATGATGCTCAGTCCACTGAACCATACCACTGGCCTGCCTTGGACCTAATATTTGTTACCACTTGACCAGGTTTAATACTTTCATTTTTTTCTTTTATGTCTGTTTTCTTTTTACTGCTCTTCCTATACCTTAGGCCAGCCAGTGGCACCTGTGACCTCCCCTTCTCCCAGTTACCCACATCCCCCTAACCAAAGACCCTCAAGTAGCTGCTGGGTCTTGGTCTGGCTAGTTTGTGCCTCCATAGGAGGTGGGCTGCTGCCTTCTCCTCTGGCCTAGTAAGGGGCCTTAAATGATGTCATGTTATTGGCCAAAGTGAGATACTTGTTTTGGAATTAAAATTTTACCATAAATCCTTAATTTCTTAATTTCCACAAAAAATCCTGTTAGTATTCCCGTTTTGATTTCCCTAGGTTTCATGTTCTCCATCTGTAAAATGAGAGTGGTTACTCTGCCTATTTACCTTAGGTTTGTGATTATAAAAATGAAGCAATGTGGAAATTCTACAACTTAAGTTTTATAAAAGTAAAATTCATTTGCTCTCTCTTTGTGTGTGTGTGTGTGTGTTAATTCTCACCTGAGGATATTTTTTCCATTAATTTTTAGATAGAGTGGGAGGGAGGGAGAGAGAGAAACATCCATGTGAGAGAGACACATCAACTGGTTGCCTCCCTCATGACCTCAACTTGGACTAGGGGTCCATCCAGCAGCAACTCAGGTACATGCCCTTGACCAGGAATCAAGCCAGCGACCCTTTGGTTAATGGGTCAGTCCTCTAACAGTTGAGCCAAATTGGTCAAGGCTATTTGCTCTCCCTTTGTTAGCCATTCTTCAATATAAACAATAAGTACAGTCAAAATAGTGGGGGAAATACCCAGAGCCACCACTGCAGGGTGCACTCTGACTCATTAGCAGAGGTGCCTGCACTGGGGCTTTGTGTCTCTTAGCCACCTGGTGTTGCTAGTGAGTCAGTGTCTTGTTAACCTGTGGCCTGGAGTGACCAACCTCTCCCTTTCCTTGTCCTCATAGGGCCATGGGAAGGAAGCCGGGATTGGCCGGCTGCTCCTGTCTTCACTCACAGGTCCTCAAACTAGAACTATTTTTCTCTGATGCCTTCAGGTTCTGAGGAAATGGTCTGTAAACCCCAATTCCAACTGAATTTTTCAAGGACTTTCCCAGCAGCAAACTAAGTTCCAGCGGTGATGGTTTCTGTTCAATTTCAATCTGAAAGGAGCTTTGGGAAGCAGCCCTCTCAGGCTAGAGCTTACATCCCAGAGGGAAGAAGTGGGTTTCAGCAAGAGTGCCCAGGCTGTGCAGCCAACACCCAACTTTCACTGGCTTTCTCAAAAAGTCCCTTGGAAATCCCCGATCGCTGTCCTGCGTGTCTGACCCGGACGTGGCTGCTTAGTGAGAATGGAAACAGTTGTGGGGAGGGGAGGCGAGAGAAGCTGTGCACAAATAACCACACTCTGGCGGCCCCAGCCCCGCACTGAGCTGGGGCCTTAACTGTCAGCTTCGCAGGAAGCGAAAGACACAGGCGCTGGTGTGGTGGGGGAGGGGTGGCTCGCTGTGACAGGAGTTCACAGATTCAGTATGCCAAGTGGGCTCTGCCTAGGAGCTGCTTCTGAATTTGCTTCCGTAATTTCTCTGGTCCTTGAACCTGCTTGTGGTGCCACTTAGCAAGAAGCTGAAGTGGACTGTTGGTTCTTCAAGGCTCCCTGGGAGAGAGCAATGCTGTGTGAAAGAGGATTCAGGTGCTAGTAACTGCTGCCGTGCTCACTGTGCCTGTCCAAGTTTCAGCCCCATTCTGACAGCTGAGATCCCACATCTGCCCAGGGTTGTGGTCTGTTCTAGTTTGACTTCTCTTCTTCAGAAAGGCAAGGCTCCTCCCTAGTTCAACAAGAACAGGCTCAAGTCAGGCAGATTAGAAACAGTAATGACCAGGCTGCCTTCCCCTTGCCCGGGTATTCCTCATTCTCCACTCCCCACCCACCGCAGGCTGTGGGGTTAGGGTGTCTCCCAAAAACAGGGGCTAAGAGGCAGTGCATTGCTGAATGCAGCTTCCAGCCCAGGGCAGGGATGGGTAGTGATAGAATAAGGGTCAGAACATTCTGGTCTTGGAGGGGAGCAGTTTCTCTAAGAGTAATGGGGATGGGCAGATGAAGGCCTAAACTCAGGCTGGGCTCTTCAGGTTCAGGGATTGAGGCCTCACCCCTCTGGGCATAGCTACTACCTTCTAACTCCCAGCCTGTCTATAACCTGCTATTTAATCCTCAGGTCCCCTCCTGATACCTGATCTGTGTAAAAGAGACGGGTAATGTTTAAGAACAGACTAATGACATCTTGCTTTGTCTGGGAGTCTGGTTTAGGTTTAGTATCAGTAAAGCCTTTCATTTAAATAACATTTTACAATTGACAAAAGAGCTTTTATGTCCATTATCTTATTTGATCCTCACCAAATCCTTGTGCCCTAGTTCACATCCTTGTGTAGTGATGAAGAGTCTGAGGCTGAAAGAATTACAGTGACTTAGTTATGATAAGAAGTAGAGCCTTCGCTCAAAAAGCACATTGCCCGTGCCCAGTTTAGGGCTGCTCTTTCTGACAGTCATCCCCAAATTTGGCAGGTCTGCTCCCTTCATGTGTATTCCAAAGAACCAGCATGAGACCACAGCTTGCTGAGTGACGGTTACATGTCCCTGCACGCTGAGCACCCCAACCACCCTGTGTCCAACATCTACATCTCTGGTTCTCAAGTCTGAAATTAGCCAAAGATAGGCAGTGAGGGGACATGGCCCAAGAAGAAAAACCTTGGGATTTCCTCAAGGATCCCTGTGTTAAGTTTTGGGAAACCAGTCAGTTCTCCAGTTTCCTCCTGGAGGAGTCCTGTGTTCCACTCCAGCAGCTACGAGGTACCTGCTGACCTGTGCCCCACACCCCCTGACTTCTCCTGCTTTTTTCTACTTGCCACCTCCCTCCCCCCATCTTCAGCCCAGTCATGGCACCTTCACACACCACTGGAACACTGAGACTGGTGTGATGAAAAGGCACACGTCCAACTAGGGGCATGGTCCCTGCCTCCCAGCCCTGTTGCCTTCACCACCCACCAGCCCTGACTTTTCTGTCACTTTGCATCTTATAAATAAAGTTTCCTTTCTATACAGTGCAGTTTAAAAACTCTAGTGTAGCCCTGGCTGGTGTGGCTCAGTTGGTTGGAGCATCATCCCATGTACCGAAAGACTGTGGGTTTGATCCCTGGTCAGGACACATACCTAGGTTGTGGGTTTGATCCCCAGTTGGGGTGTGTATGGGAGGCAACCGGTTGATGTTTCTCTCTCACATTGATGTTTCTCTCTCCCTTTCCCTTTTTCTAAAATCAGTAAAACTTATCATTGGGTGAAAATTTGAAAAAAAGAAAAAGAAAAACTTCTAGTGTTGGGGAGCAGGACAGTGGTTACCTGTGAAAGGTGGGAGTGGAACATGGCATGAGGGGCTCATAAGGTGCTGGTTATAGTCTCTTTCCTGATCTGGATGCTGGTTACATAGGTTGGTTCACTTTCTGAAAATGTATTGAGTTATGCAGTTATGATTTGTGTTGTACAAACATTTCTGTTTGTACGTTACACCTCAAAAGTTCTCTTAAGAATGCAGATGGCCATCCTGTCTAGGATAGTTGTGAGGATCACAATTTAGGTAAAAGCAATTTGAGAACTGTAAGGGACTAAGTGTATCTAAGGCATTGTCATGATACAAAATTGTCCACCTCTAGACAAGTACTAGGTCAGTGTCATCCCTCTAGCATTGTTGGTCAATAGATGTTCCAATACACCTATCATACATAAATATATCAAAGCAAACATTTCCCTGCAAGCACCTGGTTTTTCATTTTAATCTCTTCCTGTTCTCTCATTTTTTATGACTTAAGGTTTTTTGTTTTGGTTTTAAAATATATACTTCCTGCCCTGGCCAGTTTGGCTCAGTGGTTGGAGCGTTGGCCTGTGGACCAGAGAGTCCTGGGTTCGGTTCCCGCTAAGGGCACATACCTCAGTTGCAGTTTGTCCCTGGCCCTGGTTGGTTGTATGGGTGGCAGCCACTCGATGTGTCCCTTCACATGGATGTTTCTCTCTCTCTCTCTCTCTCTCTCTCTCTCTCTCTCTCTCTCTCTTTCTCTCTCTCTTCCACTCTGTCTGAACAAAAAGTGGAAAAATGTCCTCGGGCGAGGATAAAAATAAATAAATAAATAATAAAATATATACTTCCTAGCTATTTGGATACAAGACTCTGGATGTGATTTAACCTCTGCGTGGCTTAAAGTCGTTATAAACCTCCATTTTTGTATTATGTGGTGAACTGGTCCTGGGACTGATTATTTTCTACCTCTTGGATTCATGTCAGCCTGCCAGCTGTCATTTCTGCTGCTCATGTGTGGCTGTCCCCCTTCCAGTCTCATTTGAGCTAAAAGAACAGACAGCCCTGCCTGGTACAAATTGCTGCGGGGTGAGCCAGCAAGGCGTAGACAGGGAGAAAGCGCATGGCTGCGTGCCTGGGCCTTGCACCATGGAGGGTGAGGCCAGGGTGTTGGGGCTGCAGGAAAAGTGAAGGCGGGTCCTACAGAGCTTGTGAAGCCTGGGAGAACCATGACAGGCCAGTCCTGTGCTTTATGGGTGAGAAGACTGAGTCCCGGAGACAGTGGTCAGCCTGACCTCCAGAGGGGGTCACTGCTACTTTGTCCTACACTGCCTGCCTCGGCGCCTTTTGCCTGCAGACGCTGGTGTTTCTCTTTGCTGTAAGATCACAGAAAGCAGGAACTGAGTGCAGAGAAGTCTGCCCCATGCTGCTGGCACCAAGATGCCAGATCCTCTGAGAAATATGAAAACATCTCCCCTCTAGACCTGGACACGCGTATGCTC